TAGGATCAGAGAGGTTAAGACTACAGTTTGGTCTTCTTCAGGTCTCAGAGACAGAACCAAAACCAAGGGGGTTGGGGGTATCGACTCGGGAGGGCCAGGGGACTTGTGAAGGGGGAAAGTCAGTCCCAGTATTTCACTTGCAAATCATGGCAGGGGTGAGGGATAGGGGTAGGAAACTTTACTGTCCCTGAGAGCAAGAAAATTATGCAAACAATGCATTTGCATGCCAGACCTGGTCCCCAAAATGATTTACCATCACAGGTTCCACCAGAGTAATTATTCCCTCCAGAGAACAGACGTCAATTCTAAGGTAACCCTAGGTTTGAGATGTTGGTGTGTTAAAAATAAAAAGGGTGGAAGCCTAGGTACAGTGACATTTGCATCTGTACCAGAGAGCCTCCCCAGGGCCTCATGTTCAATATACTGACACCGGTCATAAAGATGGAGGAACGAGGAAGGCTTGTTATCGGCAGAGGCAAGAGGAAGAGAGCCCTCTCAGCACTCATCCCACTCTTCCAGGGGGCATCCGATTCCATGTCATCATCTTCCATAATGGTTTGTAACATGTAGGACTATAAATAACCTATGTTTAGGGTACAACTGAGTCTTTTTTAAAAATTAATTAACTAAAAAATTAGGGTCGAAATCTCCATCAGACTATAGGACCAAATTTTGGTTTGGGGGAGCAAACAGCATGAATAAGGGAGATCCAAGTTGGAGGGGCTGGAAAAAGAAAATGGGCAGAAAACACCAAGGCAGATTTCTGAGGGAGATCAGATTGCAGTGGGCAGACACATGGGGGTAAAAGGTCAAGCTCAAGAGGAGCCGACAGTAGTTCAGACCAGAAGACAGAAGGAGTGAGCCTATCACAAAAGGAAGGACCTGGCTACTGAAAAGCTAGAGTGCAGATCAATGGAAAAATCTTCTTTTCTTTTTGAGACAGAGTCTCACTTTGCCACCCTCTGTAGAGTGCCTTGGCATCTTACCTTACAGCAACTTCAGATTCTTGGGCTCAAGTGATTATCTTGCCTCCATCTCCCAAGTAGCTGGGACTACAGGTGCCCGCCATAAAGCGCAGCTATTTGTTTTTAGAGACAGGGTCTCCCTCTTGGTCAGGCTGGTCTCAAACCCGTGAGGTCAGGCAATCCACCCACCTTGGTCTCCCAGAGTGCTAGGATTACAGGCAGGATTACCCTGCTGCTCCTTCTACCCTACCCCACCCACCCCCAAACTGTCCTTTCAGAGCCAGATCAAGGGATGCTAGAAGACTGCTGGGTCTCAGACAGACTAGCCCCCTCCTGCATCACAGCCACCTGCTGCTCCTCCCTTAGAGCACATCGACTCCCCCGCCTTCTATCACAGCTGTGTCTGTCCACTCCCTACATGGTGCTCCTTGAGGGCTGGACCCACCTCTTACTCATCTGTGTCTCCCTAATTCCCGAGCACTGGTCATTATGCAGAGTGGAGGTTCTCAAGACAAACTGAATCAAAACGTGGCATTTTTACACTGAATAGTGGCTAAAAGTCTTCTAAAGGAGTAACTCAGGACCAGGAGGCCAAAAGAAGCACTGACCCGCCCTCCACACCAGTCTTGGCCTCCTGTAACCCTTACATGCCTAGCTGGAGGACAGACACCATCCCCAGCCAAGGCCTGGATGTGAGAGCTTCATCCAAAGGCTGAGGATCCAGGGCATGTTTCTTTTAACCTCACTCCTCTTTCCAGTCTCAAAACCCCTAGGTGGCCCTAAAAGGCCACGCCATGTCACCAGGGCTAAGATGGCACACTCCTCACTGCCTGGAACAGTTTCTGATGTATCTTGGCCTGTGGATACAGGAGAAGGAAAGACAAGGCCACTCATTGCTGGAGTGAGGCAGGAATTGAATTTTATACTTGGTTCTCTTTTTCCAAAGTACGTGAAGCACAGTACGTGCCTGGGTGTTCAGTGGTCAGTCCATTGGGCAGCCACTCCAGGCTGGTCTGACTGGGTGTAGGGAGAGGAGAGGTAGATGAAGTCTCCAAAAGGGTCCCCAGAGTTAGAGCAGGATGTCCCTTTCAAAGAGCTGCTACTCCCAAACTCAGCCACTCCCCCTGGGGTCACTGGGGCCCCAGAATGTAGGCTGCAAGAGGTAGAACCCAAATGGGGCTGTATCCTCAGAGCTGAGGTACAGTGACGGCTCCCCAAAGCCACCTGTCCCGCTCTGGCCCAACTGGGGAGTGCCCAGCCGGGTTTGTTTACATTCACCAGTAAGTGGGACACCACTTTCCCCAACCTCACCACCCTCATCCTCCTCCCTTGAATAGCTACATTTCCTTCACACCCTGAGCACCCTCCCCACTCATCATACACAGTCGTTCGCATTTCCTGTCTCCGACCCAGTCAAAGGAAAACCCCAAATTTACTGTTATTGTTTACCAACCCAACTGCCTCCTCATCTCAGGGGACAGAGATCTACCCAATTATGGGCAAGGCAATGACCCAGCCCAGGACTGTGCTCCAAGCCTGTGCTCTCTGTGCTCTTTCTGCAAGGCACTGGTGATAAAGGCTGCCTGGTAGTTGCATTTTAGGAAGCATTTAAGTCTATTGTCATTGAATCCCTCACAATAACCACAGGGCGCCAGAATACCACCCCCACTTCAGAAGAAACTAGACATCCCTCGGTGGAGTGGTGTCCAGTCTCGGCAGCTCCTCTCCTCCTCACCCCTGCTGCCCTCCTTTATCAAGACTTCCAAGCTCTTTATTAAAGGACCTCTAATCTTAGAGACAGGAGAGCTAGCTCAGAATTGTCTGACTAGTTGTGTCACCTTGGAGAAGTCTCTTTACTTCTCTAGGCCTCAGTTTCTTTGCAGGTTAATTGAACACTGGACTGAGCCCTCTAGGAGGGTATTTATGATGAAGAGGGCACTCAGCAAGTGCCCAGGGGTGTCTGCAGCTCCTCTTCACATCTCACACTACTTAAGAGCCTTCTAGAAACACACCTTGTCTCCCCAACCCCTGCACACATGCAAGGCAATATCTGCCTTTAAGGACAAAGGTTTCCATTGCCAACCCCCCCACACACACACCCGGAGTCAGCAGAAAGTGGTTAAATTCTCCATAGAGTCAGGAGCTTGCCAGTATGAAAGGTCAGAGCATGGGGCATGGAAAGATGTGGACCCCACTCACCATGCCAAATCCCTCCTGGCCCTTCATCCCAGCCATCTCCCCTGAAAGCCAACCCAGGATGGATCCTCACTAGCCACAAGAGTCTTCCTGAGCTGGGCTGACCCAGACAGGAAGGAAGCCAACACAAAGGTCAATGTTGAGCACTAGTGAAAAGGTGTGAGACAGGCCTCTGTGGCAGAATCATGGCCCCAGTGCTGCCATGCCCTGGTCCTAGACCTGGGACGATGTCACCTTACATGGCAAAAGGGACTTTGCAGATGAGATTAAGGCAAATGACCTTGCAATGGGGAGATTATCCTGTATTATCTGCACAGGCCAGATCTCACCACACCAGTCCTTAAGGGTAACAACCCTTCCTAGCTGGGTCAAACAGATGTGACCATAGAAGAAATGTCACAGAGATGTGAAGTTGTGGCTGAAGATGGAGGAAGGGGCAACAGCCAAGGAATGCAGAAAGCCCCTCGAGGCTGGAAAAGGCAAAGGCAAAGACACAGACTCCCAAAAGGAACACAGGCCTGCCAAGACCTCGCTTTAGCCCAGTGAGACCCTATCACTCTTTTGACTTGTAGAACAGGAAGATAATAAATGTATATATTAAGCCATTAAATTTAGATGGCAGGATCAAGAAGTATCATACTCCGGCCTCTAAAGACAGCAGAATGTTGACAACTTCTTCCTTCCGTCTCTCTCTGACTCCCTTGCCACCACCACTCCTTCCTTGTTCCCCTTGGGATCTTATCACTTTTCACATCTTTGTAAGTGCAGACAAAAATAACTGGATTTCTCTGAAAGCAAAACCTCCTGCTGGCTTATTTTAAGCTGTGCTTTCTAGAATGGTAAATAGTATCTCAGATAGGACTCGACCCCAGCAACCCATTCAGAAGTCATGAAAGGAAGGTCTGGGACCTCTGTTCCAATGAGTTGAGGGTAGAGATGTGATTCCTTTGATGACTGAGGGGACAAGACAACCTCCCCTCTCTCCTCCAGGGAAGTGGCAGGTCCGAGGAGGGGACCCTGTGGCCTGAGTTCTAGTCCAAACTAGTTAGCTGTGTGACCCCCGTGAATTCTTTTTGCCCTCTGGATCAGATTCCTTGCTCATACAATGGAGATAGCCATCCTGTATTGCCTTTTCCTGAGTTCTGAGGATAACATAAGAGAAAGTAGGTAAAATGATCTAGGACATGCGATTTCTCTGCCTGACCGGGAGGGAGAGCAATGAGGTTCCTAGAGCAGTTTCTATTTTAGACTCTACTGCAAATCAAGTTATCATGTGATCTCAAAGCCCCACGTCTGGGCCTCCTTTCTTTTTGAAGAATGGGTCACATGAACTCTGCTGTCTCTTCAGCCTTTGGTTTCTTCCTGACCCCTATCGCCACCTCCTGGAATTTGCAGGCACTACACCAACTGCTCCCCGGTTTCTTTTCCAGGATTTCAACCCAATTCACTACCTCCTCTTCCTTGTGCCCCACACAAGCCAGCTCCCCTAGACTAAGGGTGCCAGTACCTGGCAGTAGCTATGTAGGTCAAGAATAACGTACCAAGACACAACTGGGCTCCTGATTAGGTAGGTATTTGGTAAAAGAGGAGGGCTCCCAGCCAGCCCTTATTGCCTCCCGACCTATGTGCTAGGGAGAGCAGCATTCACCATCCCAACTGCAGATACGCTCCCGCCCAGGCCCTCGCTGACCCAGGAGGCCCTCTCCTCTCCTCTCCCCTCCTGTCTCCTCTCCCAGGGCACCCAGTTCTGCCTTTCCCAATACACAAAACCTCTCTGCACATGGGAGAGGCGGAGGCTGGGGGCCTGAGCCCCAGAAAGGAAGAGAAAGGAAAACTTTCAACTATTAAATCTGTTTAGTAAAGACAATTTTGTAAAAACAACAGTATACAACAATCTGAGTGCTGGACACACCATCAGAGACGAAGGAGGTGCTGTGGACACCGGGGCCCTTCCCCCATGCACAAAAATGACCCTGGGTGCCCCTCTACCACCTGTCCCTGAGGAACAGGAAAGCTGAAGTACTCCTGAAGCAGCGCTGGGGGGCTGTGGCACAGAGAACCCCTCCCCAGCTGCTCCTCACCAATACCAGGGAGACCCCTCCTCCCACTGACCTGGACACAGAGCTGAGTTGTTTAGGGTAATGACAAAGTGGCTGATGGGTGAGGGGGCAAAGTCGGGACATCTTTGGTGCAAAGACCCCCCACCACCCACCGGCCACACGATGGAAATTTGAGGGTGGACCACAGCGGCTCTGGCTGTACCCACAAGGGATAGCTGGCTGATGCCCCCAGAGCCCAGGAGAGACACGTGAAATGCAAAAGCTTTGTCAATACAAACTGCTCGGGTTCACCAGTATGAGCTAAGAGGTGACCCATTGAGAAATGGCTAAAAATTAAAGGAAAACAAACAAGAATGGGTTAATAATGGCGAGAAGGGGCAGTAGAGAGATTATTCGGTACATCAGCGGCCTCAGAGGTCCTAGGACTAGCACTAACTGGGGAGAAGGGGGTCCAGTCTTCCTGATTGCTGTGCCAGTGCCCAGGTCACTCCTCTCTGCCTCCCGGAACCAGCTAACAGAGACAGGCCGTGGAGGGCCTGGTTCAGAATCTGGATGGGCTTCCCAGGCACTTTGGCAGGCTCAAAATGGGCAGGGCAGGCCCAAGGAGAAGGAAGGTTCTTGAGCCACTTTAGGGCTCCCTTCTCCCATACCCTGCCTGCCCCTGGCCCTGCAAATGCACGATCCCAGGTACAGATCTGGGCACTCACGCACGTGCACACACACATACACACACACTCACTCCTATCTGTCTGGCACACTGGTGATGTCCAAGGACTTCAGGGGAGGAGGTGGGTGGCACCCTCCTCCAGGGTGGCCTTCAGCCACCAGAAAGCCTGAGCCAGCAGGGACCCCAGGCTGTCCTAGGGAAATAGAGAGGGTAAATGGGACAACACGGAGACATTCCCTATAACAGTTTCCACAAATACCCTCAACAAACCCCATATCTTTGCAGGATCCAGACAGGAAGGGGTCTGTTAGGAAGGAGAAGTAGGAGAAAGGACCAAAAAAAAAAGTTTCATAAAAATTCCAGGTCAAATTACCAATAAAATTGTAAAATGAGCACAGGTTCTAGAGCACCTTGCTCACTTCTCTCTGCAGCCTCCCAACCTCCTAGCCCCTTCCCCTCCAAGGTGGCCGGAAGAACCAAAGGCAGAATTCAGCCGCTGGCACAGTTCAGGGCTCCATGCAGCTGAGGAGAGGAGGCGCAAGTGGGCAGTTCTGTGTCTCCTCGTTTAAAAAATATATTCATGTAGAGAGTTATTGCTTGTCCTGCGGTGGGGCAGGAGGGGCTGGAGGCTCAGTGGGCAAGGGCTGCAGCCTCTAGGGCCCGAGCTTTCTTCCGCCTCTTCAGAAGCAGAGGGTTGGATGCATCTTCAATCTTTTTTATCTTGATTTGCTCGTAGTCAACGCGCATGGTGGCCAAGGCACTGGTCATCTCCTCCTGGGAGCAGGGTAGGGGATTGGCACCAGGAAATGTGCAAAAAGAAAGCCAGAAGACAAGAGGGAGAGAGAGCAGAGACACATGAGAGACGAGGGACACAACAAGGGCAGGATGAGGGTAGCAGGTGTGGGTCCCCACTGCCAACAGCAGCCTCACCCCAGCACTGGGCAGCAGAGAGTTATGGCCAAGCTCCTGCTTTCCCGAGAGCTGTCAGGAAGGGCAGTGGACCCGAAGTCAGTAGACCTGGTCTGGTCTATCCCAGCCAGTACCCAGGCTACTCCCCCTCTCTAGGCTTCAGTTTCCTCGTCCACAAAATAAGATCATTCTACATGGCCTTTAAGGCCTGGCTGGAGACCCAGGGAGTAGAGGGCTTATAGACAGGAACACAGAATGCTGGCTTGGCGCCCATAGCTCAGTGGTTAAGGTGCCAGCCACATACACCGGGGCTGGCAGGTTCAAACCCAGCCCGGGCCTGCTAAACAACAATGACAACTACAACAAAAAACTAGGCAGGCATTGTGGTAGGTGCCTGTAGTCCCAGCTACTGGGGAGGCTGAGGCAAGATAATTGCTTAAGCCCATGATTTGGAGGTTGTTGTGAGGTGTGATGCCATGGCACTCTACCAAGGGCAACACAGTAACACTCTATCTCAAAAAAGAAAAAAAACACAGAATGCTCTACCCACAACCTAGTCAGGCAAGTGTCTCAGGCCACTGCCCCTGTTGTAATGGAAACACCCTGGGAGTGAGAGGGTGCAGAAGCCAGCATCGCCCCTCCCTGGCCACTCCTAGTGAGCTCCCACCCCCCACCAAGCCCCTTTCACCCAGGGGCAGCCCTCACCTTGACATCCTCCCACCGCTCCTTATCCTCCTTCAAGACTCGGCTGGTGTGCAGTGGGGTTTGAGGGACCTTTGTCGATTGCTAAGGGGAGAAGAAAGAGTCAGAGTGACAACCTGGGGCAGGCAGACTCCTAGCAAGGACCCTATCCCGAGGGACAGTCCCTTGACTGGGACCCCGGTGTCCCCAGCCTGCCAGGCTTACCATGATCCAGGGGTGGTTCATGAACTCTGTGATGGTCATTCTCTGAGTGGGCTCTGTTTTCAGCAGGTTCCGGATGAGCATCTTCACTGTGGGATAGGGTAGGGACAGGGATAGCTCAGGGGCCACTCCCCCTGTCCTGCTCTTGCTCCCAGTTTTCAGCAGGAAACCAGACTCAAAGAGGGAGACTGCCCACAGTCTCTACACTATCACTACACCACTTAGCAAGCCACAGCCAGCAGGTGTGGGCACAGCTGCTGACACACTTACACCACCCACAGGAGATGGATGCCCACAAGAACGTGTGTATATGTGTGTGCGCATACCACACCCCCCACACACAGGTTCTCCCCCTTGTCCCAAAAGACGGGATTCATACCTTCCTCTGATACTTCTGACCATTCTGGATTGGGAAATTCATACTGGCCCATTCGAATACGAGTCTTCATGCCCGGAGAGATGGCAAGGCCATGGTTGGAATAGAAGGGGGGATACCCACACAGCCTGCATCAAGAGAGGGAAGTAGGAGACAGGGCAAACATTACTCAGGGGCCCTACATTGGGAACAGGATGAGAAATGGGCTCTTCTTGTAAAGGTCACAGAGAAATAATGGCTCATTGACACAGGCACAACATGCAAAGCCAGGGACAGGGTCCAGGAATCCACACACTAAGTCTGTAAACCACACTCTTTCCTCCCCTTTAGATAACTTATAGCCACCAGTCAGTTGTCAGAATCCACTGAGCACTAAGGAAGGGGACACAGAGGGGATTCCCTGGGAATCCCCCATCCACAGGGGAACACTGACACTTGCCTCTCCCTCTAGTCCTGGAGAGGTCCAGGGCTCCCCCATGCCCGCCCTGGCCCTTCCCAGCACACACTCACAGGATATACATGATGACACCCAAGGACCACATGTCACAGGACTTGTCATACTTCTCTGGGCCCAGAACTTCCGGAGCTGCAAACCAAAGGTCAGCGTGGGTGGGCCTGGCCCTGGAGCTGTGTGCATGATGCTCCCCATCCCAACCTTCCAGCCATGCTGAGGAAGTAGCAGCTGGGCTGCGAGGAGGAAGAGCCATAACCCGGCTGGGGCTGAAGGAAAACAGGGCACTCTCCTCCAAAAGGCACCCTGGAGCTAAAATCTGAAGATTAAAAAATCCCTGAACTACATGTATGAGACTTGCAGACCTACGCTGCCCATTTAATTTGACAAATGTGCTTTGGAGCTTATTCTGTGCCAGTAAGCTGAGGCTCCAGAACCAGATCTGGAGGTCAGATGCCACTGAGAATCAGATGGAAATGGTGGCTCTTCTCAGACCTGTGCATGTGTGCATACAATCCTGCCCATAACCTCAGGCAGATAATTTCCTACAATTTCTCACTCCCAGCTTAACTCTACTTCTGAGCAAGTCCCACCAGAACCAAGGCTGGAAAGATCCACAGGGTGCAACTGTCTTAGATTCTGTGGCCCCCCACCCAGGGACCTCCAAGAGGAGGGGCTGAGGAAAGTTCTTGGGGAAGCCTAGGTCTCTGGGCCTCCTCTGGACTTACCCACATAGTATGGCGTATAACAAGGAGTGGTCAAAGAGTTGTGGCTGGTGGTTTCCTTGGCAAAGCCGAAATCGGTGAGTTTCAGAATGGCATTGGGTCTTCTGGAGGTGTATAAGAGATTCTCAGGCTACAGAAAGAGACAAGATAAATAAAGCCCTGCTGAACCTGCGAGGGGCTATGAGAAACCTAAGGGGAATGGTTCCTCCCTCCTTCATTCATCCAACAACCCAGCCCCTGTGAGCTGCCCACCAGGAGGAACATCAGCTCTGTGTGACCAGGTCCTGCCCTCACAGAGCTTCCAGGGTGCTTGAGAAGCAGCAGTAAACTCTACAGGGACACAGAAGCCAAGGGTGTGAGGGTGAGGTTCTGACTGAGGAGAACCACAGGGCTGAGTGTGACCAGATAGGGCTTCACTGCTGGGTTTGTGGGTTTGCCCACGGGCCAAGAGCAGGGCAGAGAATGACACCCTCAGGAACGAAGCAGGGAGGATGCAGGGTGGCTCTGGCAACCCGCCTCCTCTGCATGCGGGTACGGGGGTATGAATAGCTGGCACCTTGACATCCCGATGGGCAATGTTGATTGAGTGCAAATACTGGATGGCCTCACCAATGCTCTTCATGATCTCTGATGCCTCTGGAGAGGGGAGAGAAGAGGGAGTGGGAAGAAAGCCACAAAGATGCATCACTGGGTTTCAAAGCCCAACGCATCAGACCCACCGCCGGGCAGCCTGAGGCTCCCCACATCCACTACCCACCCTGGAAAGAAAGACACCAGGAGCTGCTCTGGTTGGCTTAGGACAATGCCCTCGCTGGTGGTGGCATGCCAAAGTTAACAGCAGCCTCAGAGTCTTCCCCAAGTAGGCCCTGCCCCACCTGCCTAAGCCTGTCCCCACAACAGACCCTTTCTACCTCTTTCTGTGAATGCTTGGTCTCCTCGGTCCTGGATTCGACTAAAGAGTTCTCCACCATCCAAACTGAAACAAAACCGCAGTGAGATCTGTGAACACAACACCCCACTGCCACTCTCCATCGTCCCCCAGAAGAAATGACGCATTTACATTTCAGCTTCAGGGTCCATGCCTGGGCTGTCCTCAGAGGGTGGGGCACCTGAGGGGGAGGTGGGACAGGCTGAGCCAGGAGCAGCCGGCTGCTTACCACTCCATGACGATGAGCAGGCACTTCCTCCCCGCATACAGGTTCTCGTAGACATCCACGATGCGCACAATGTGCGGGCACTGGGAGGCCCGCCAGTGCAGCTCCACCTCCCTGCGGGCCTTGGGGCAGTCCTGAAGCATCTGCAAGCCAAACAGCTTCCTGACAACTGCACTGTCTCCCCAAGAGACAGGCGGTACCACCCCAAAGGCCTATTTGCCCTGACATTTCCACCAGTACACCACAAACTCCCTCTCTCTGTTCTTGCTGGTACTTTCCCTGCCACTCCATCTCCCAGATCCTGGGAGGCCTTATATATGCTCTAAATGAAACCTCAGTATGACCATTTTGGGGCCACTGACAGCTACACTGAGATCAGCCCTTGGGCCATTCAGTCTAACTGGGCCCTTTTCCAGCTTAGGCCATGAGATCTATTCTAGAAGGCAAACAGTAGGCAGGTAGTAGAAGACACAGACTGAGGGGAAAGGACAAGGAGAAAGACTAAGAAAAGCCAATACAATAATGGAAAGTGGCTATAGAGGAAAGACTCCAGAACCAATAGGAAAAGATACCTCCAAGATCACCCAAACCCAGCACGCCAAATCCCGAGCTATGTTCTTTCCATTTCTGTGGTTGACCTCCATCAACCAACACATGGCCTTGGGAGTTGGCAGGATATTGGTCTGAATCATGGTTCTTACTAGATTTGCAAACTTAACCAAGTTTGTTAACTCACTGGGCCTCATTTATGATCCCTCTTTTTCCCTGGACCAGGTGCTAGAGGACATTAAAAGAGGTTAGCCCCTCACGAGCTTCAAGGGCTAAATCTTGACTAGTCCAAGCCAGTATCATTAATTCCAGTCTCTTCGCTAGTGTCTGGCTTGAGAACAAGCCTAAGACCCAACTAGCCAAGAACTTCATAAGAAATCTGCTGAAAGTTCTTTTAAAAGAAGCACACAGAACCTACACTGTCTGTCACGGCAGTCACCTTGTTGCCAGTTAGGAGGGCCAGCATACAAGGATAAACTAACACACTAAGGAAGGCAGCCAAGAGAGAAGGTAACACCCTGGATCCTTGTTGATATCACCAAGAATCCCTTCAAGACTTCTTTTTGGTAAGATAATAAATTTTCCTTACTATTTAAACTGATTTCAGTGGAATATTTTTGTTGCTTGGGGCTGAAAGTATCCTGACTCACCCCTTGTTTGTAAGGTGGAGATAGTAACTTCTGTTTCACAGACTTGTTGTAAAGACTAAATTAAATATTTCTGCAAAGCATCTAGCAGAATACCTGACATGCTCGCTAATAATAGCTGTCATTTCTATCACTGAGTGTCTGCTGAGTGCACGGCACAGATGCCAAAATGATTAAGATGAGGCCCCTCACAGACTTACTAAAATCTCCATGGGAAGTCAAGATGAGTCCCATAAATACACTCACTGCTCTGGGCATTTAGAGCGCTGGAGGACAGGCTGGAAGAAAATGGATGGGCAGGGGAAAGGCATCCAGGCAGGGCACACGGCAGGAACTGGGCGCTGACGGAGGAGTAGAGTTGGGGGATGGGGCAATGCACCAGGGAAGACTAAGAGACCTCCTGGAAAGTGTCTGAAGCTTGATGAATAAGACATATGGGCAGGATGCAGCTGGATTATAGAGGGCACTCAAAGGCAAACAAAGGAATTTCCAACAATAAATCTGCCATGCAAAAGCCTGTGATATGCTGGGCTTTTTCTAACTGTACAATGTGTGCCCTTTTACAGGATGAGGAAAGTGAGGGTCAGAGAAGTAGCATGCTGAAGGCTAAGTTTCTGGGGCAAGGCAAATCCAGGGTTAGAAGCCAGGCCTGG